ACCCCCCCCCCCCCCCCCTGGAACAAGATCTTACCCTATAGTCATGATATGTTTCGGATCAAATTTGTCCTCGCAGTACCTTAGCATTATGCTTGATTTCCCGACGGCCCCGTCACCAATTAGTATGACTCGGAGGACAGCATCGCAGTCATTGTGGGTGGACTTCATTAAATACAAAAAATATGGAGACCCTCGGGGTCGTCCTTGACTGTAGCCCCGTAAACTTTAGCGAGCTGAGCGGCAGTACAGAAGCCGCCGCGACTGCGGTCGGGATGGATGGGGAAGATAGTATGAGCTTCAAGGACTGGTGGAATGCTGCATGCAGCTACCTGCTGCACTATTCCCAGTTCTTTCCAACTAATAACTTGATTGTCAGTGTATGTCATGCAAATGCTGCCAAATTCATTTACAGAGGCAAGGCCGTCGACTTTGATATACGCACCGCCACGAAGACCTTGTTTACGGTGGTCATGCCCTCTTGGGCCTGTGACGGGCTCTCCATGCTCCCTCTCGCACTAAACAAAACCCTCGCTTGTAAGCACGAACACCACTCGACTCCTATCCTTGCATGCACACGCGTGTGTGCAGGCAGACTTGCTTTATGTACAGCGGCTTTACTAACGAACGAACAAAACATGCGACTTCTAGTGTTGCTGGGTAGCAGCGGTCCCAAGCACACGCACATCAGCGAAGAGGTTCTACGCGTGGTGTTCGCGGCCTCCAAGGTCGGCGCTGTGATCGACTGTTTCTGCTACCATGGAAAAATTGCTCCCGTCTGGCAGCAAGCAAGCATCTGCACGGGTGGACTCGCACTGACCTACCAGGACCATGCCAACCCGAGTAGCTGGCAGTTGCCCATTCCGCAAACCAAAGAGCTACAAAAAAAGGCGGCCCTTATCGTTCCACTCTTTCTCTGCGTACGGACACGCGTCCCTCTTCCCTATGCTCTTCCCTGTGCCACCGGCAGACCGAACAGACGTTCTTTAGTACTTCTTCCTGGGCCCACACGAGTGGCGACATACATTCGCGGCAGTCCCCAGCTTCAGCGTTGAGAACGCCGCCACCTGTTGCTGCCACGGCGAAAAGGTTTTGATTGGGAAGCTGTGCCCCAATTGCTTCACCAGTAAGCCAGCCACCCGTTCGCTCACTTCAGCCGGCCACCAGTAGTAACGCACACCGCCGCGGTTCACCCCCACTATGTTGTGTAGTCTACTGTCAAGACGTACATGCGTGTCCAACATGCCGGCAGGGTCCAAGAGGACTGCAGGCCTCGCGGTGACTGCAGACCTCGCGGTTACTCCGCCTCGTGATTCCACCTCCTCGTGATTCCACCTCCTCGTGGCCCCTCCTGTCACGGTACAGGCTCGCCTGACGTCGGTTCTGAGTCGTTGCCTGGTGATCCGTGGCTGGATGGGGATCCGTTGGGTAGTTTGGCGGCGGTTAGTATCTGGAATGGAAGGCAAAGATGGACGCAATATTGGCTTTTGCTCGGAGCTACATTCCGTACCTCCTCAATTCCCACAATGATTTGGTCGAGGATTTGATCGGAGGTCACCTCGTTGGGGAAGACACCTCGTTGTATTAAGCATTCGAGTTGCAGCGCTGCTCGCATTCGTTGGCGGATAGATTCCTTATGGGTGGCGGGGGAAGCGAAGCAATATGCGAATACGTGGGGCTCCACCATGCTAGGATGGTCCTCATAGATCTGGAGCTCGAGAGCCCCGACGAAAGCGTCCAAGAAATCGATGGCAATTGCCGGGAGATTCATCAAGAAATAAACCTGATGTTCTTCCGCGGTCCGTCGTCGTTTTTTTCTTCCCACGTTGGTCTCGCCATTATTGGTCTCGCCATTATTGGTCTCGCCATTATTGGTCTCGCCATTATTGGTCTCGCCATTATTGGTTTCGCCATTATTGGTCTTGACTGTCTCGGCGGTCATATGTTCTGCCGTCTTGGAGTTCTGGACCGCAGACTGTATCTGTCCTTCCTCCTCATCTTCATTTGTTGTCATAAAAGTTCGACCCATTTTGCGAAGGCAGGACTGGCTGAACTTGGGGTTTATCATCTCCCTAATAAACTTACGACCGTCCATATTACATGCGTCCATTGACTTCTTAACCTTATTCTGCTGAATATTGATTACAGCACATTCATACGACCTTTTATTAAGGTCGTTGGTTACAACATGGCAATTATTAAACTTTGCTAAGTATATGCCAAAACCTCCAACACCACCCATGACATCATAAACGTGTGCTCCATGGGGGATCACCTTCACTAACCTGTCCCGTTCGCCAGCCAAACGACTGTTCCAAAACACATGCTCATAATCAATGAAAAATCGCATTCCATTTTCATACTAAGAGAAAATGCTACGGAAAGGGGGATAAACAGAACGGGGGATAAACAGAACGGGGGATAAACGGAACGGAACGGAACGCAGAGAAGGGGCATGGTAGCACTTACATGGTATGTATCATATTTGGGTTCCCCTGCGAGTAATTCTAATGGACAATTTCTGAACTCGTTGTCCAAATTATGAAGTTTATTCACGACCGTCTTAATTGATGGTATCTTGTCTATGATCACTTGACCAATTATGTTGCGATATTCCAAATGCTCCGGTAGAAGGTTCAAGTGTGCTATATGTCCTATTGTCTCAAAAGATCCCGGCACGACCACTCCAGAAGGCAGAATTCGTTGGAGGACTTGTTGTACCGTCATTGAATCATAATCAGTGGTCACCGTGAATGAAACGACCACCGCCGATGCCAAGGTTCGACCTAAGTCTCTAGGACCTAAGTCTCTAGGACCTAAGTCTCTAGGCGTTTCCTTAATTTTTGATTCATTGGACGCTGACGTTTTCGACTCTTTAGCTAGCTCTTTAGAGACTGATTGCTTCGAGACAGAGACTCCTTCTAAAACGTCCAGGGACTCCTCCGTTGCTGCTACTCTATGGGCGCCGCAGCCTTCCGCGTTGGATATCGCTTCCAACGAAACTGGCCCCTCTTGCTCCAGTCGGTTTTCTACTGCCGATCTCAAGCATGCAATGTCCTCAGCATTGTGCACTTCAGTAAGATGAATCACCCGCAACGTGTCACTCTGGTTGAGATCGTCTGCCGTAGTACTTGGAGCATCCCCGTTTACCAGTTGCGGAGAAACAATAACGAGATTCTTACAATTACGAGGCAGCTCCACCAACCGCCGACGACATTTCCTTATTCTTGGAGAAACTACAGGGTCTTTCAATACTCTCTGGGTTAACTGCTTGTCTACTGCTATGCCATAGGCGATGGTCTCCTCCGTAAGCCTCTTTTTCCAGTCGCCCTCGACACCGCCCATTTTCGCTGCACAAAAATTAGAGGCTAGAATCAATAACATTCAGTTGATTCACAGTCAAGAACTTGTCCTATAAAAGTGGGACATGTAAAACAAAACCTTCGAAGCGGAATGGGGGCCGTATGTGGAACAAAGTGTGGGGAGGGGGGGGGGGTGCACACGGGGCACGGGGGGTACACGAATATTGGTAACAAGTGTGTGCACACACGTGTGCACACGAATGTTGGTAGCAAGTGTGTGCACACGAATATTGGGCTAGCACAACAACATAGGATCCAAACTTACGTGAGCTGCTATTGTATATTCATGATCAGCGCCACATAGGACTATGAGGCTATTAAATGCGTTCTCATAGCAGCGGGTGATCTTGTTTTTATGGTATCCGGATATCGCGGTTTGGCCTTCAATATGTTTGCTGAGTAGGTCTCCGAGTTCCTCCCACAGACCAGCAAGAGTCAAGGAGACTTTGGGTGAGGCTCTGGAGAGGAACTCAATGCGGTTCTTCATGTGATTTTCGGCACCAGGTATATTATTAGCTTGTAGATAGCCGTAATATAAGATGGTATCAAGTTCATACATGACATGGTGTTGTGTGAAGACCCTAGCAGCCTCTTGGTAAACATTTTCAGCGTCCAGTAGATTATCTTTGGAAGTGTCATCGAGTCTTGATACGTAGGAAGCTTCAAGTTCTTCGTAGCGTCGAATTTCCTCCTCGTCAAAGTCATGATGGCAGACGGTGCAGGTACTAGCAGTGGTATAGTATTCGTCTTCGCCGGAGACATCCGTTTTGAGAAATATAGTTCCAGCGGCGCAGTCAGGACACAGGAAGCCACGGCAAGTGTCAGTAGAATGTGTGCAACGACGACATTGGCAGGTAAATTGCCAAGATGAGAGCTTAACTCTACGTATATGTACTGGCTTGTATAAGTCATCGTCGTTGATGTATGATATGGTGATCTCGTCTCCTGGTGCAAGGTGTCGTCTTGCTCGTAGGACAAAGGCGTCTTCGTCAGCATAATGCCAGGTTGCTGATGCCTCACAGCTATGCGCCATATTCGATATGCGATTATATAGAATCAGTCCGTCGTCCTCAGCATGGTGTCCGAACCCATTGAACCGCCATGCATTCAGGGCACGTTCATACTTCATGGGGTCCAGAGCAAGTCCGGTGGCACTAAGAATTCTGATGACATCGCGACTGGGAGCTTGTTCTGGATCCGGAACAAACTTGTCTTGGATAACCCGTTGTTGGGATAGATCCAACTTCCTTAATGATGTTACGGCACCCAAATGCCATACCGGAGGTAGCGAAAGCGCTTCTTCTTCATTTATACGAGCCAACTCTTCCCACAAATCCGGATCAGTTTTCGGGGTAGCAGCCAATACGGGGTTTTCCACGAAGATAATATCTCCTGGTTTTAAAGCGACTCTGGCAAAGAGGCATCTCCCTTTTCCTTCAACGCGCTGAATAAAGACCCTCTGGTCAATTTGATCCAGTGTGTACGGCATCAGGTGGGAGCCGCTGGAATATTCCTCGTCGTCATCATCGTCGACATTAGCTTCATCCGCATCATCATCATCATCTTCATCGTCCTCCTCTTCCGCGGCGCCGTAATAGTCTTCCTCCTCCTCTTCTTCCTCCGGCTCCTCGTCTACCTCCTTTTCGTATTGGTACCCTTAAGGAACTCTGGTCAAATGCATTGTGCAGTCCTACTGTTTTTATAAGAGTCAAGCTCTTGATTTAAATAACTCCGATCAGCTGTTGGCATATCCAGACATGCACCACCACGAGGTGCGACAGGTGCAAATTAAAAACCATCGTCAAAAATATGGACCTCCAGAATATCATCAACTCAAGACCACCCAATGGACTCTACCAAAAAACCAATACAACCACACTGACACAAGCTCTCAAAGATATTAAACTCAAAACCGTCATCGTAAACCACCTTTCTATTTCTACCTTGAAAATCGGTCCTGTACACACACAGATGCAAACACACCCCTAGGGGGGCTTCTGTCGGGGGCATGACGATGTAGGGGCAGGGGCATGTCGCTGTAGGGGCAGGGGCATCATGATGTCACGCTGAGAAACATGGTAGGCGGTTGCGACAGATGAACATGCGGCAGTAACGCTTAAACAAGTTTTGGAAGAGTCCGTTCTCCTTGCTATTTCAGTAGGGGACGAAGAGCAATTCAAGAAGGATTATGACCAATTGGAGAAATTATACTTCAGCCGAAATGTTCGCTCCCGGCTAACTTTCAATGAAACTGAATGCTTACTCTTAGGTATTGGCTTGATGCGAAATCTAAGGGATAACGATATTCCTTCGTTTCACGTCCTGCTTCAAGAAATTCGGTATCTAGTTGAAAAAGTAAAGGGAACAAGCGACATGGCCAAAAGTCTAGCACAGGGCTGGCAATACTTGGAATTCCCGCTAGATATAGAGAAAGAAATTGCCAACGGGAACATGTCCCGGGTATTGGAGCTCGCCGAGCGGAAAGTTCCTCATGACGCATACTTGCCTTTCACCCGGGCATTAATCTTGACCATCCGCACACACGTGTGCACCGCCCTGGAATCGGCCTACCAAAAAAACCAAGTCGTCTAGATGACGGTTTTGCTCCATGCTGTCTTACCGCAAACTGGCTTTGGTGTTTACCCGGGAGCTGCCGTACATTTATGGTCGAACATTTGTGGTTAATTGGGTTAAGTGTTCGCGGGCAGATGGTGGTTGTCTGTGAGCAGGCGGTCCATTACAGGCGGCGGTTTATTACAGACAGCGGTCTGCTACAGAAGGACGCACCAACCAGAGATGCACGTCGGCGCAAAGACGTCGATTCAGAGGGCTTCGTCAGGTGGTCGAGGTTATGTCCGGGGAGCCCTTTGTTTTTTTCCGATTTACCAACTCGGTTTCAAAAGGTGCACAGCGTTCCGAGGTAGCGGCAGGGCTGTTGGGCCTTGCAGGAGGACCTTCGGAGCATGGCCTTAAGTTTTGGCTCCATTTAAGGTCTGCGATTATGGCTTCATGTGCTTTTAATATGGAGAAGGAGTTCATTTCCAAGTATGCCAGGCATTCCCTTTGGTCCAATGGCCTGCCATCGTAAACGGGGGTTTTGCTGCACCTTTCTATCCAATCGCAGACAGCCATGGATTTCTTAAACGACTTAGAGGCGCTGACAATTCTCCCTGTTATCCAAGATTCAATGGAGGGGTATAGTCGTCGCATTGCACAGTTGATCTGTGTTTCCTTTACATGTTTATGTATGTCCTCATCTGCATCCCTATCCCCAGCCTTTTGATCCCCGAGTTCCCCTACGTTGAACGGTTGTCCTGTATCAGATGGGTTTGGTGGACTTGTGCACGGTTCATCCCCGCCAGCGCCTTCATACGGCTCCTCAAAGTAACACGTATCCAGCCTGCCGTCGACGCCAGTATCCATATCGTAACTAGTTGTAGTTGTGACTAGCCTAGTATTTGACAGCTCTATATCCTTCACGGGTATAATTAGGCTCTTTCGTGGCCATATCTGTTGAGGGGGGGCAGACTCTTATTAACGGTGATTAGAACATTGTTACGGGCATTGCTATGGTTTGTAAGACTTATGTGGGATGGTTTAGGGGACATATGCACAGGACCAGATGGGTGAATTCTAACCTCGTTATTCCTTAGTCTGTTGATAGCTTTGATTGACTGAATAGAGACGTTGTATTTGCTGGCTATGGTTCCCAGCGTGTCATTTTGTAATACGTTGTGTTCTATTTGCCTCATGAAAAAAGAGCAAGTCTTTGCATGACTCTACGGACATTGTTATTAAGCAAGTGTAAAGAGCTCGTGCTTTTAGATTGGGTCAAAGCTTGCTGCAATTTTACGGGCGCAGTTGGATCATTAAGTGAGCTTGTTAGATTTTGTGCGGCATATCTGATGGCTGGACTGGCATGATGTTTAAGGAGCTGGAGTTCAAAACAGCACAGCTGCGCGGTGCGCAGCTGGGTTTCAAGAATGGGTGTTTGCTCGAGACTCTCGCTCGTAGCTTCCGGTAAAGACGCAGGCATAGAGACGGGTGCGCACAGAGGTGCTCTGATATCAACCAGATCATTCCAAGTTGGGTTAACATGGATCATAGGTATGATAATGTCCGGTGCCTTCATTAAAATTACATTGGCAAAGGTAATACACCAAATGGCCGCTGGTGTGGGCGCATCCACTGCAATCATCAGAGCTTTCTTAAAGAAGTATACCAGCTGCTTTTGATTAAACACTACCAGCAACCTTTCCATAATGTCGAGAATGATATCCCGATCTTCACAAGAAAACAGTGCAACAGAAAATACTTCGTAAACTATATCACAGACCTTCGACGGGTCATACGAAACAGCCCGACTCTGCAACTCGGCATTGGCCACGCAATCATACAGCCTCTGTACTATCCACAAAGACTCATTCAGGTCATCTCGGTGTTCCCACTCTTCTTGGAACCACAAACACACTTCCACCGGGTTCTCCATGGAAACGAGCACGTCAACTGACAATGCCTTGAGCAACAAACGTCGGCACTCCGGGTTGGCAATCGCGCGAGTTATAGCGAGCTGGTAAACTCGTGCCGGCTTGAATGTGGCCGGCCAACTCAGCACTGCCGACAAGTTTTTTACCCGGGACGAAGCACCTCGCGAAGCACCTCCCGAAGCACCTCCCGAAGGCCCTCCTTCGAATTGCCGTAATGACGGCATTTGCTCCAAAATGCGCCCGAAGGCGGCCCCGTCCACTTCTTTAACTATTACTGGTATTGCTTGATACAGAGTTAAGCATATATCCTTGTAAGACAGGAGATGACGCCCTAAATGCCTCGGAAATATTTTGATTATTTTGTCATCAGCGCAATCCTGATACTTCGCACACACGCGTGTCCAAAGCGACAGGAACTGACCACCTCCAACAACCTCACCATCCGCCCCCAACTACGTTCTCCTTCCACTCCAACCTTATTGTTCCGTTCCAAGGACGCAACTACTCTCCTCCATAATTTAGTCAGCTTC